AATAGGTTACTGATTGCCTCCTCTTTAACACGGGCGCAAACCTTCGCAGTTACTGCAGCACCAACTGCAGGGGGATGGGTGTGGGTGTTCCTGGCGGCAAATTCATTTCCTTTCTGGCACACAGTGACAGGGCAACGGTTGTCTTTCCTTCTCATTGTACACTGCCAATCTATGGTATTCCCACGACGTCGCTTAACGTTGTAACAGTAGCCAAGACTATCACATAACTTCTCTCCACGGAAAATGGTAGATCCGCTCACAACTTCGTACRTCACTTCTGTAGGTCCAGCAGACGGCTGATCTTCTATCGGTAGAGAATCTTCTAGGGATGCTTCAAGCAGGAACGGAACAGACTGCGCAATAGGACAGGATGGCAAGGATTCTTCTTATGAAGGGTGGACAGGTCCAAAAATATAATGATATCGATTGTTCACTTCATCGGGCTATGTTGTCTATTCATCGGGCTATGTTGTCTATTCATCGGGCTATGTTGTCTCTTCATCGGGCTATGTTGTCTCTTCATCGGGTTATGTTGTCCCTTCATCGGGCTATGTTGTCTATTCATCGGGTTATGTTGTCTCTTCATCGGGCTATGTTGTCTATTCATCCACAGGTAGCCCAAGCACTACACTTGTCGGCTTTTCTCTGAAGGTCTTGTGTGGAAAAAGGAAAAATTCAATAAAAGTAGGAAATCTTCATAAAATGAATTCAAACTCACACAATATGTTGTTCTTAATTTATTACACATCCATGTGAAGTTTCAGCTCTCTGCAGTGAAATAAACTGCATTTTTCTTAATTATCTAGGGGACCAACATCAACAAAAAAAACAGCTTTTTGACTGCAGAGTGCTGAAATTTTGCATAGATGGATAGATGTGTAATAAATTAAGAACAACATATTGTGTGAGTTTGAATTCATTTTATGAAGATTTCCTACTTTTATTGAATTTTTCGTTTTTCTCAACAAGACCTTCAGAGAAAAGCTGACAAGTGTAGTGCTTGGGCTACCTGTGATTCATCGGGAACGAGCATTTTGTCAACGTACTTTGTCAAAAATATGAGCCGGTCAGTGGTTTCCCATGTACAAAACTAGTTCCCAAGCCCGCGAGACCATGACCGACGTTTTACGTACTGTGGTATGGCATAATTTTCTTTTTCAGTAGTGCGTTTTTAATTGTACGTTACTGTTACTAGTAATATATATGATATGAGTAATTTGGATGGCGATAGAGAGAGTAGTAGCTGTTTGAGTTAAATGCAACAGCAATCATCCGATCTGTAGTTGATGAGCTTGATCGTCTTGGCAGCGTGCAGTCATCATCAACAGGTGCACGTGCTCCCATCACAAACCCTTCATCACGTCCTTGTCCTCAACTTTCTTGTAGTAATAATTATGGACTTAATAATTTACACAGTACAGATGAAAGGTGAGCAGGACTTTAATACATCTTAAATGATAGACCCTTTGCCAAAATTGCCGCCGTTCATCACAAGAGATCGGTTATAAGTAATTTGTGTGTGTGTGTGTGCTTTTGTTTTTTGTTGTTTTTTTTTTGGGGGGGGGGTGTTTTTGTACAAAATGCATAATTTTTCTCTGGCCCACAGCCTGGAGTATAAGATTTAATATGTGATCCACCCCATGTCAAAAATTATTTCAATGGTTGTACTTCCACATTGTACTTCCAATGTAATTATATGTATATTATTAAAATAAAAATTATTGAATACATCTCCATCTTTAAGATGAAAGATTTTGAAATTTAAATTACCATCTATAGTGTGCATTTCACCAAAAAGAAAGTCACCTACCCTCATTCTTTTAGAAATTTAAACTCGGCCCCCCTTGATTTCTCCCCACTCCACCACCCCACTAGCAAGCCCCCAAATAAATTATGACTGGTCCTTAACATCAATTTTTTCAACTTATATAAAAGAATATGCTTATCTTCAAATGTCAAAGCTATGTAAAATTCTGGAACGTTTTAATAAAAACCTGGAATGACATGAAATTTTTGAAATGGAAAATCAGTATCTAGCTTCCAATACCCCAAGGCCTATTTCTGTAATTTAAACAATTTCTATCTGACTTTTAATGGGAACTACTGGACTTTTGTAGAGTATTTCATGGTTAATTATGGCTTGAGTGTTATAAAAAATAAAGATTTTTATATGCTAATTTTGGCAAGGGGTAGTTAAGGTTTAAATGCCTGGGTAAAATTGTAATGATTCTTTTTTTCATCTAAAAAATCAATTTAATTTTCAGTGTCAGAAAAAACTTTGTCGGCACTGTATCCTAAGTGGATGTCTCTATCTAGTTATAACATGATGTTCTTCACTTCTTGGAGCTTAACGACAATAACATATATTGTATCATTATTTTCTGGTCTTATGTACCTTTCTAAAACACCTAAAAACCAATCTAATCGGAATTTTATAATGTCAAACTGGTCCTTTCTGTAGCTTTGGCTTTCCAACAGCGAGATTATGTCCAGCAAAAAACGCTTTCCGTAAACTTTGCATGAGTGCCGCCATTTTTAATTTAAAGTCGCAAGGACTTGGGAACTAGTTTTGTACGGGAGACCGCTGACCAGCTCATATGTAACATAGCCCGTTGGAGAAGTATCATAGCCCATTGAACAGACAACATAGCCCGTTGAAGTGACAACATAGCCCGATGAGGTAACGAACTAACCCGTTGAAGTGACAACATAGCCCATTGAAGTGACAACATAGCCCATTGAGGTGACAACATTGCCCGATGAAGTGACAAGTTAGCCCGTTGAAGTGAACAACCAATATCATTATATTTTTGAGCCTGTCCACCCTTCATATCTTCTTCCATAGGATCGTCAATGGGTTCACATGAATGGTGTCGCCAATGGGCAGTACCATCACTGGACCACCCTATAAGCCATCCATCATCTTGAATTGGTTGATAACAGTCAATGCAGATCTCGGCCATGATAACAGATTTCGTAGATTTCGTAGATTTCGTAATTTTTTTTTTCGCTTTGTCAATAAAACAATGAGTGAAAGAAAGCAATTGCAAACTGCTTTTATACGCAATTTGAAAACAAAAGGATCGAAATTTTCTCATTAGCATGTTATGCGGCCCAATCACATTGCACTTACAATTC